ACTTTGGGAGGCTGAGGCGGGTAGATTGCCTGAGGTCAGTAGTTCTAGACCAGCCTGGCCAACATAGTGATATCCCATCTCTACTAAAAATACAAAAAATTAGCTGGACGTGGTGGTGGGTGCCTGTAATCCCAGCTACTTGGGAGGTTGAGGCAGGAGAATTGCTTTAACCTGGGAGGTGGAGGTTGCAGTGAGCCGAGATCTCACCATTGCACTCTAGCCTGGGCAGCAAGAGCAAAACTCTGTCTAAAAAAAAAAACCTTTTCAGTAGGGACAGGTTTTCACCATATTGGCCAGGCTGGTCTTGAACACCTGACTTCAAGTGATTCTCCTGCCTCGGCCTCCCAAAGTGCTGGGATTACCGGCATGAGCCACCAGGCCCAGCTAATAAATACTTATTGACTAAGTGAATGAGCATACACACTGTTCTGTGTCTTGCTTTTCTTCACTTTGATTGTCTCATTTCTGTACATAAGGAACTTCTTCATTTTTTTCATGACTGTATAGTGTTCCACTGTCTGGATTCATTATTATTTGATTAATCAGACCCTAACAATGAACGTTCGTTAATTGCTTGCTGTGACAATAAAGCTCAAGTTCCAGGGCCTCTCAGAGAGTTCCAAGACCTAGGATGTGTGCCATTCACATCCTTGTACAAATGTCACACCACGCATGTGTGAATACATCTATCTGTAAGATAAACTCCGCAATGCAGAATAGCTAGGTCAAAAGATAAGGTGCATTTTGCCAGCTTCTTTTTTTTGAGACACAGTTGCACTCTTGTTGCCCAGGCTGGAGTGCAATGGCACGATCTTGGCTCACTGCAACCTCCGCCTCCTGGGTTCCAGCAATTCTGCTTCAGCCTCCTGGGTAGCTAGGACTACAGACACATGTCACCATGCCCAGCTAATTTTGTATTTTTAGTAGAGATGGGGTTTTACCAGGTTGGACAGGCTGGTCTGGAACTCCTGACCTTAGGTGATCTGCCCTCTTCGGTCTCCCAAAGTGCTGGGACTACAGGTGTGAGCCATGGTGCCCGGCTTTTCTTTTTTTTAAGAGATGGGGTCTTGCTATGTTGCCCAGGCTGATCTCCAACTCCTGGGCTCAAGCAATCCTGCTTCAGCCTCCCAAAGCGCTGGGATAAAAGATGTGAGGCACTGTGCCTGGCTGTACCTCAATTTTTAAAACTTGAAAGAACTACGCTGTGGGGTCACAGCATGTTACTGTCTGTAGGTAGTAGCCACACTGGTCTTTTTCATTTCCCCAAGCATACCAAGCTCTTCCTGCACAGCAGCTTTTGTACATGCTGTTCCCACTGCCTGGAACACTATTTCTTTTCTTTTGCCAACACACAACGGCATCCATTCACTCATACACACATGCACATGTACACTCTCACCAACTCCTTTTTTATAATTCACTGTGTGTGAAAATACATATTGTATAGAAAAGGGGCTCATGCTTGTAATCCTGGCACTTTGGGAGGCTGAGGTGGGTAGCTTGCTTGAGCCTAGGAGTTTGAGATTAGCCTGGGCAACATGGCAAAACCCTGTCTGTACAGAGAATACAAAAATTAGCTAGATGTGGTGGTGCACACTTCTAATCCCAGATACTCAGGAGGTTAAGGTGGGAGAATTGCTTGAGCCCAGGAGATTCAGACTACAGTGAGCCATGATTACATCACTCCAGCCTGGGTGAGCAAGACCCTATCTTAAAAAAAAAAAAAAAAAAGATGGCTGGAATGATGCACATACTCTTATAAGCTGTATGTATGAATTACCCTGCAAAACTCAAGCATAAGAAATTGCCCTTTTCTCAATCTTGCAGAGACTCAGATTTAGATTCAGTTCTAATTCTACCTTCTTAGTGGTCCCTCTTGATATAATCCCAGTCAATTTTAGCCACCTTGACTATTGGCCTCCTGAAATCAGAGAAGTGGCCGGGCTTGATAAGCATATTTAAGGCCGGGCCAGGTGGCTCATGCCTGTAATCCCAGCACTTTGGGAGGCCAAGGTGGGTGGGTCACCTGATGTCAGGAGTTTGAGACCAGCCTGGCCAATATGCTGAAACTCCATTTCTACTAAAAATATAAAAATTAGTTGGGTATCGTGGCAGGTGCCTGTAATCCCAGCTACTTGGGAGGCTGATGTAGGAGAATCGCTTGAACCTGGGAGGCGGAGGTTGCAGTGAGCTGAGATCGCGCCATTGCACTCCGCCTGGGCGACAAGAGCGAAACTGTGTCTCAAAAAAAACAAACAAACTGGGATTTAGAAAGTTCAGAAAAAATCTGGAATTTAGAAAGTTTAGAAAAATTGGAGAAGGGCCTTTGGCCCATGCGGTGGTTACGGAGATGCTCGTTGTTTCTGTGTAGTTGACTTCAAGACAGAAGGTTCAACCTCATTACAAGCTCAACTTCCAGGACCCTCTTGGTGACTTCCAATACCTAGGAAGTGTTTAGCATTCAGAGCTTCAGGAGCTATGGTCCTTCTACCTGCTGGGGTTTTGTGTGGGACTAGGGTAGGGGTCTTGTTACTCAGGAAACTGCCCTCCCTTCCTCCCAATTATATTTGCACTTTATTACTTTTTTTCTCTAGCTTTTTTTTGAGACGGATTTACACTTAAGAAAACCTGCTCTTGGATAATGGGTGGCAGGTGGGGCAGAGGGGATTTGGGAAGACCTGGAAAATTCCCAGGTCTCCACTAAATAAGAAAACTGGGGAGGAATGGGACTGGAGGGGAACGGAGAAATAAATGTATTTTCTTTTCTTCTTTTAAACAAAACAGTAGCTTACTATATATATTTTTTTCAAGCTTCTAGGAGAGTTTTGCAAACAATTGGAGTAATTAAAAGTTCTCAGAAGTAGCCGATGGTGCCCTTTTCACCGAGGGAATGTGGGCCAAGCATGATATATTAAAAGAGAGGGAGCTGCTCTATTGAAGTTAAAAATAATCTGTCACATGGCTAATTTGTTGGAATGCAGCAATAAAGGGCTGTGGGCAGAGGGAGAGCTGGAAGCAGCTGGGAAGTTTGCAGGCGGAGTGCACGCCCTGGGGACTGTGTTTGTAGGGAGAAAAAACAGTGTCACAGCTGACTTAGGGCACCTTATCAGAAAACCCACAAAATAGGCAGGAAGAAGGAAAAGTAGGTTTGAGTTCAGAGCATGACCTTTTGGGCTTATCGGACAGTGAAGAGATGGGTCAGAACTTGTCACCTGTGCTCACGGGATGCTGATTCACTCAACAAAGATGAAGCCTTTTCAGTTCCCCCTGCCTTTGAATCTGTTTCAAAGGAATACATAACCCAAAGGAGCCCTTTGATCCGAAATCCATGGGAAAATCAATCTATAGGGTTTTGAGCAAAAAAAGTTCAAGCCAGATATACAAATCCTAGTTTGGGTGGTTGAGGATTGTTTTAAATTTTGAAATGTTAGTGTCAAAAGAGAGAAAAAAAATTAATATAATCCCTGAATTTTCTACATGAGGCAACAGGCTCAAAGAGGTTGATGTGCTCAAGATCACTCAGTCAGCAACTGACAGAGCTAGATTCAAACCCAGAGCTAGAAAGGAAGGGCATCGTGGTTAGCAGACGCAGGATTCAGACAGCCCGATGTCAAATCCTGGCTCTACAAGCTGCAGGCCCCTTGGGCAAGTTTCTGACTCCTCTGAGTGTTAGTTTCATGTCTGTAAAATGGGAATAACAACAGTACCCCCCAACCCAGAATTGCACTAATGCATGTGAAGTGCTTGGTACAACATCCAGCCTGGAGGAAAGGCTTAATCAAACATTAGCTGTTATCATGCCACAGCTTTTTCATCACCTTGTATCAAATTTCTAGAGCTTTCCGCAGGTTAACTTGTCCAAACATCCTCTTTGATTTGGGTGGGATTCTCTCTCTCTCTTTCCCACCTCCCACTCTCATGCATTATATATAAAGAAAAAGAGGATGGCTGAACTTTAAGATAACCTCTCTATCCTCTCTGGTAGACACTCTCGCTAGCATTTCCTATACTCCCATGAGATTTGTTTTCTCTTAAGCTACATGCCCTCCGGCCTATATTTTCAGTATGGTTTCCAAGTTGCTGACATGCAGAAACAGTGCCAGCATGAAGAAGCAAGTATTACTGCCCCAAATGCAGTAGCGAAATGTGTTTGAATCTTTTCGAATAAGTTGATCATTTTTCAAAATCATAATGGGCACTGCTCACAGAGGGGGCTCTTAATATCCAAGGCACATTTGGGCTCATAGTTGGCACTTTTGGAAAGTGGGAGGCCAAATTCTGTGTGTGCACATCTCAAAGAATAGGAGCCTACCTCCCACAGCTTGGGCAAAAGCAAGGGTGAATTTAGTGGCTCAAGTAACCAGAAGACCAGATTTCATTGATGACTAGATTCAAGTGTTCACTAATGTCCTTAGACACATTTCTGCTTTGTTGGGCTCCATTCTTCAGACTGATTTTGGGCTCACTGCAACCTTCACCTCCCGGGTACAAGCGATTCTCCTGCCTCAGCCTCCCAAGTAGCTGGAGATAACCGATGTGTGCCACCACACTCGGCTACTTTGTATTTTTAGTAGAGACGGGGTTTCAGCATGTTGGTCAGGCTGGTCTCGAACTCCTGACCTTGTGATCCGCCTGCCTCGGCCTTCTAAAGGGCTGGGTTTGTAGGCTTAAGTCAGGATGCCCCACCAGGTTAATATTCTTAAGCAAATTATGTCACACTGCCCTTAGTTGTCTTTCCCTGATTGGCTGCTTTAAATCACGTGCCCATTCCTGAAACAATAGGGCCAGGAAAACAGGTTTCTCTGATTGGACAGATTGGATAATATGCCTAACCCTTGCTGCCAAGGGGAGGTGGAGCATACTGATTGGCTGTACCATTACTTCACATAGAATGGAAGAGGAACAGTTCCTAAAAGAAAAATTGTAGCTACAGAAACCAAAAGATAGGGAAAGGGAGGTGAATGTAAACCATAAATACCAAAGTCCAAGACAAGACCTACCTGTATTTTCCTGGGATGGTGGTTCACAGCTTGCTTCATATCCTCAAAGTTATTCTGTAATCCAAAAAATAGTAAGAATTTTGAGGCCTAGCACGGTTGCTCGAGCCTGTAATCCCAGCACTTTGGGAGGCTGAGGCAGGCGGATCATGAGGTCAGGAATTTAAGACCAGCCTGACCAACATGGTAAAACTCCGTCTCTACTAAAAATACAAAAAATTAGCCGGGTGTGGTAGCGCGCGCCTGTGATCCCAGCTGCCTAGGAGACTGAGGCAGGAGAATTGTTTTAACCTGGGAGGTGGACGTTGCAGTAAGCTGAGATTGTGCCTCTGCACTCCAGCCTGGGCAACAGAGCAAGGCTGCTTCTAAAAAATGAAAAATTGTTTGGACAAGAAAACGCTTCCTTCCACTCCAGATATTTCCTTCAGTGTGGAGGGCCATCAACTACCATAACGCTCCAGCCTCCTCTTCAGCCCTTACTCATGCACATAGGGAAAGGAGAGCATTAGGAAAAACTGGGCATGAGTTGCCGTTTCTTCCTCTTCCTGATATCTGAGGATGAAGAAGGGAGCACAAATTCTCTCCCTCCACATGGGAGGGTGCTCCAGTCCACTGCTGCTTGGGACTGATGGGATAGTCTGTTTCATTAGAATAGGAAGACACACTCAGCCACATTCTCCAGCCTATACAGCCTTTATCAGAAGAGAATTCATCTTCTGACTTTTGTCCCCCAATCAGCTGATTTAGAGCCTGAGTAGGGAGGAGGTCTGCAGTTTATTTATTTATCTTATTTTTTTGAGACAGGATCTCATTCTGTCACCTAGGCTGGAGTGCAGTGGGGCCATCTTGGCTCACTGCAACCTCCATCTCCTGGGTTTGAGTGATCCTCCTGCCTCAGCCTCCTGAGTAGCTGGGCTTACGGGCATGTGCCACCACACCCGCCTAATTTTTGTATTTTTAGTAGAGATGGGGTTTTGCCATTTTGGCCAGGCTGTGTCTGCCATTTATTGAATCCCTTCTGAAAAGTTGAAAAGAACAACCAACTTAGAGCATCAGGGACCCATACATAGATTTATCCTCTCACCTCTCCCCTTCCTTCCTGTATCCCCAGCCCCAGGAGAAGAAGTTGTTCTCCTTGGGACTCCATAGAGATAGTGGAGTGCTAGGAGTATTCTCAGAGGGAAATTACAAGAAAGGCAGGGAAGTTAGATTTACTTAATAACAGCAGGTGAGAGGAACTGGATTATTTCACATGGAGCGAGGCGGGGAAAAATGGGGCAGTGATTTAATAGTGGACTTCACCAGCACCACGAGCAGGGTGTGGCATCCCTGGTATTTTTCCACAGCCTCACCCTGACCGGGACCACAGTCACATCTGTCCCCTACCTCGCCCAACCCACTTGTATCCTTTTACGCCCACTTCTTGGCAAATAAATTGTTCCACTTCCACAGAGAGGGGCAGGAGTTTGGTGCATACACACCAGCTTAAATAACAGGATATTTTATTATTATTAATTCTTAATTACAGAAGTCATATACAATCTTTAAAATAACTCAGGATATAGAGAAGCATAGAAAATTATAAAGATGAAAGCTAAAGTCAACTCCAAGCCCTCAATTCTGAGATAGCTATTGTTAACCTTTTAGTTTATTAATGTTCAGCCTTTTTTCTATACATATTTTTAAATTTCTTTCTTTTTTTTTTTTTAAAGACGGGGTTTCACCATATCGGTCAGGCTGGTCTTGAGCTGCCGACCTCAGGTGATCTGCCTGCCTTGGCCTCCAAAGTGCTTGGATTACATGAGCCACCATGCCTGGCCTATTTTAAAATGTCTTCATATTACTTAAAAATTTTATAAAAGTAGTTCAAATAATATAGAAGCACATGATGTAGACGATGAAAATGGTTTATTCTGCAATTTCTTCTAATACTACAATGAACTTGTATTATTCCATGGAATTTCTGTTGTTGTCACCATATCCTTTTATCTTTCCTGGCCTCAAGATAGTGGCACACATGGCCGGGCAAGGTGGCTCAGGCCTGTAATCCCAGAACTTTGGGAGGCCTAGGTGAGAGGTGCTTGAGCTCAAGAGTTCAAGACTAGCCTGAGCAGCACAGTGAAACTCCATCTCTACAAAAAATTAGCCAGGCTTGCTGGTGCATGTCTGTAGTCCCAGCTACTTGGGAGGAGGATGGCTTGAGCCCGGGAGGTAGAGGTTGCAGTGAATTGAGATCATGCCACTACACTCCAGCCTGGAAGACAGAGCCAGATCCTTTGTCAAAAAAAAAAAAAAAAAAAAAAAAAAAAAAGAGAGAGAAAGAAGAAAAGAAAGGGCACTGATGTGAGAAGAAGGTACTGGTATTATGACATCCACTGTAGAGTTGAGGAACGGAGGCTCCCAGATTTACCCACAGCCACACCCCACTCTTGGTTGGGTGGCCAGATCCCTGGGGACAGGAACAGTTTCCTTACTTAATAGGCAGCTTGGTTAAGAAAAGTTGGTAAGAGCCAGGCACGGTGGCTCAAGCCTGTAATCCCAGCACTTTGGGAGGCTGAGGCGGGTGGATCACGAGGTCGAGAGATCGAGACCATCCTGGTCAATGTGGTGAAACCCCGTCTCTACTAAAAATACAAAAAATTAGCTGGGCATGGTGGCGCGTGCCTGTAGTCCCAGCTACTCAGGAGGCTGAGGCAGGAGAATTGCTTGAACCCAGGAGGCGGAGGTTGCGGTGAGCCGAGATCATGCCATTGCACTCCAGCCTGGGTAACAAGAGCGAAACTCTGTCTCAAAAAAAAAAAAAAAAAAAAAAAAAAGAAAAGTTGGTAAGAGAAGTGGCTTCCATTAGCCGGGGCTCTCGGCCTTTCTTCTCTGCTAGAAATACCCAGCACATTTGCCCTTACTCACACTGGCCTCTCCAGTTCCAAGAATTTGACTCTGGGTTGGGCAAGGTGGCTCACGCTTGTAATCCCAGCAGTTTGGGAGGGCAAGACAGGCAGATCACGAGGTCAAGAGGTTGGGACCAGCCTGGCCAAGAGTGAAACCCTGTCTCTACTAAAAATACAAAAATTGACTGGATGTGCTGGTGGGCACCTGTAATCCCAGCTACTTGGGAGGCTGAGGCAGGAGAAACACTTGAACCCGGGAGGCAAAGATTGCAGTGAGCTGAGATCACACCACTGCACTCGGGCCTAGATGACAGAGCTAGACTCTGTCTCCAAAAGAAAAAAAAAGAGAATTTGATTCAGGGAACATATAGCTGCAAGTGAACAAAGAGTCAAGGGAAAGTTCTTTATCAACAGGAGAATTATTTTATTCAATGTGTTTCCTTACAGAACTTTGGACAATACAGGGAAAGAATTAGAAGAAATAAAAGGCCAGTTACTTAGGCCACTTTTAATGAATCACCCCCCAATGTCATTACCCATCCTTAGTCAGGAAAAGCTTGAGTTTTTCCATGCCAAGAAAAACAGAGGGCAGGAAGAAACAAATTATGACCTTGTTTGTGTTTTGTGTCTTAACTGTTTGATTTATAGGCCTTGATCCAGCGATTATGGATGAAAGAAAATATCCCAGTGTCCCAAACCTAACCTGAACTTAACCAGGGGTGGGTCTCACGTCCACTGCTCAAGTTAGCACGAAGTTAAAATGCCTTAAGAAGAAAGCATCAAGGTTTGGAGCTGCATGTGGGCATTCTTAACCCAGCGGCAAGGCCAAATTCCTTTCCCACACTCCAATTTCAAAAAAACTCTGTTTAGAAACTTTACCCCTTTCTCCTCATCCCAGAAGTCGAGCATTTATCTATTCAGCAGATAGTTATCAAGCACCTACTGTGTGCAATGCATGATGCTGGACAGCAGACACAGTGAGCACACAGATCAGTCAACACACAAATCAGAAAATGTCATGTAGGCCAGGTGCGGTGGCTCATGCCTATAATCCCAGCACTTTGGAAGGCCAAGGTGGGAGGATCACTTGAGGTCAGGAGTTTGAGACCAGCCTGGTCAACATGATGAAACCTCATCTCTACAAAAAATACAAAAATTAGCTGGGTGTGGTGGTAGTAGAAGCCTGTAATCCCAGCTGCTCAGGAGGCTGAGGCAGGAGAATTGCTTGAACCTGGGAGACGGAGGTTGCAGTGAACCAAGGTCTTGCCACTGCACTGTAGCCTGAGCAACACAGTAAGACTCCATCTCGAAAAAAAAAAAAAATGTCATATAGCCATGAGCAAATGGAGAGAAAAGAAAACAGAATGATATGTTAGAGAGACACTGGGCAACTGCCCAGGAGAAAGTGATGAGTCTTGATCTTAGGAAGGCAATGACATTTAAACTGACATTGGAATAAGATCTGTATATGAAGCAGGGGTTGGGGAGACCATTCTAGGCAGAGGGAAAATCCTCCAAGACAGGATTGTGCTTGACATATAGAAATTAAGCCATCCTGAGGCCAGGTGCAGTGGCTTCCGCCTGTAATCCCAGCACTTTGGGAGGCCAAGGTGGGTGGATTACCTGAAGTCAGGAGTTGGAGACCAGCCTGACCAACATGAAGAAACCTCATCTCTACTAAAAATACAAAATTAGCTGGGTGTGGTGGCACACCCCTGTAATCCCAGCTACTTGGGAGGTTGAGGAAGGAGAATCACTTGAACCCAGGAGGAGGAGGTTGCAGTGAGGAGAGATTGTACCATTGCACTCCAGCCTGGGTGACAAAAGCAAACTCCGTCTCAAAAAAAAAAAGAAAAGAAAAGAAATTAAGCCATCTTGGAGACACATATGATGGCTGGGTGACAGCCGCTGATCTCAGGCTCAGCCTAAGGGGACAGGTGTCCTCACTTTCTGAAGGACCTGTGCCCACCTTGGCCAGAGCCCCATGGGACTCCACTGTACTCAAGGGCATGGAGGATTGCCCCTGAGGCCCCAGCATGGCCCACCATCCCAGCACCCCTTGATAGCTGCTCAAAGATTGCATTTTTTAAAAATTCTATTGCCTCCGCCTCCAAGGAGCTGGGATTACAAGTACCCACCACCATGCCCAGCTAATTTTTTTGTTTGTTTGTTTTTTTGAGATGGAGTCTTGCCCTGTCACCAGGCTGGAGTGCAGTGGCCGGATCTCAGCTCATTGCAACCTCTGCCTCCTGGGTTCAAGTGATTCTTCTGCCTCAGCCTCTTGAGTAGCTGGGACCACAGGCGCGTACCACCATGCCCAGCTAATTTTTTTTTTTGTATTTTTAGTAAAGACAGGGTTTCACCATGTTGGCCAGGATGGTCTCAATTCCTTAACCTTATGATCCGCCCACCTTGGCCTCCCACAGTGCTGGGATTACAGGCGTGAGCCACCGTGCCCGGCCTTGTATTTTTTTTAAGAAGAGATGGGGGTTTATTTTTTTTCTTTTCTTTTCTTTTTTTTTTTTTAATCCTCGTATTTATTCTAATGGCAGTGAGACGTAGGTTTCACCATGTTGACCAGGCTGGTTTTAAACTCCTGACCTGATAATTTGCCTACCTCAGCCTCCCGAAGTGCTGGGATTACAGATGTGAGCCACCAAGCCAGGCTGCAAATACTGCATTTTAAGAGAACACCCAGGCCCTGTCTCTTAAGTTGATGTCATAGAAATTTGAAAGAAATGGAAGAAAAGGAGCAACGTGACCAATTCTGTTTGGACCTCCTACCTTGAGGCCTGGTTGGCGTTTTCCGAGAGGAAAATATGGCAAAATTGTATTTTTTTGGAGGAGGGTCGGAAGGGAGAGTAAGAAAAAGGAAACAAGGCTTCACGTTTTCTCTGACTTTCCAAAACTCTGCACGTTGACAATGATGGCAAAATAAACTAATGCCGAAGTTGTTTTTCTATTGAGAAGAAAGTGGAGGTGGGTTTCATTCCCTTTTGTTTCCAACCTTTTCTACCACTGACAAAGTATAAAACATGGACGCTAGAGAATAAGGTGAATCACAGAAAATACTGCGAAGCTTACCTTCTTCCTCAGGAGGGAAGAGGGGGATGTTTCTATCCCTTCCTGGAACCTAAAATGAAAAACACGAGTTGTGTGCGTTGGAATGGAGACAAGGCCGTATCTGAATCATCCGCATTGCAATCATGTGAACGTCATTATGGCAGCACTTCAAACAGAAGGCTATGAAGTGTTTGCGCAGAGCTGCAGGTGCCATTGATTGAGCTCACTAGCGGTATGGGCTCCATGGATATGGACTTCAGCGGTACAGGAGCTCTGAAGATGCCTCTCAAAAGGCTGCACCAGATCTGTGCTCCAGAGGAGGCTGGGGTCTGCTACAACCTTGACTCCAAACTCAAGATGCCTGGGTGGATTGGAGGCAGGAGTAAGCTCCAGAAGTTAATTTCTTTTGCTTTTCCTTTTTTTTTTTTTTTTTTTTTTTTTTTTTTTTGAGACGGGGTCTTGTTCTGTTGCTCAGGCTGGAGTGCAGAGGCATGATCATAGCTCACTGCAGTCTCAAACTCCTGGATTCAAGCAACCTCCTGCTTCAGCCTCCTGAGTAGCTGGGACCACAGGCAACTGCCACCATGCCTGGCTAATTTTTAAATATATTTTTTTTTGCAGAGATGGCAGTCTCATCCTGTTGCCCAGGCTGCTCTTGAACTACTGGCCTCAAGTGATCCTCTTGTCTCAGCCTTCCAAAGTGCTGGGATTATAGAGTGAGGCACCACATCCGGCAGGAAATTTCTACAACATTATTTGCAAGGAAAGGACTGCAACGTCGTGCTGGTTGTACCAGAAGAGGAGGAGGCTCACCAGAGTTGTGGGACTGATGTGTAACACATTTCTGCCCAACATTCCCCTTGTCTTGGCCCCTTCAGTCCTCTGTGATATGCTGGAGCCTCTACAGTGAGTGGTCTGCCCTTGCCACTTTCCCAAACAACTCATCACAGCTCATCAGCTTTTTCCCTTTTGGATCTGACAGTGAAAAGGTTAGATGTGTAGACTGTTTAAAAAACCACAGTGTCTTACTCCTGGGAAAGGAAGGTAGGCGCTCTGCGCACTTAAGGCCAGTGTTCACAAACCCTTGTTTTTTTTTGTGTTGTTGTTTTTTTGTTTTGAGACAAGGTCCTGCTCTGTTGCCCAGGCTGGAGTGCATACCATGAACATGGCTCACTGCAGCCTCAACCTCCTAGGCTCAAGCAATCCTCTTGTCACAGCCTCACAAGTAGCTGGGACCACTGGCGTGTGCCACCACACTCAACTAATTCTTTTTTTTTTTTTTTTTTTTTTTTTTTTTTTGAGACGGAGTTTTGCTCTTGTTACCTAGGCTGGAGTGCAATGGCGCGATCTCGGCTCACCGCAACCTCCGCCTCCTGGGTTCAGGCAATTCTCCTGCCTCAGCCTCCTGAGTAGCTGGGATTACAGGCACGCACCACCATGCCCAGCTAATTTTTTGTATTTTTTGTAGAGACGGGGTTTCATAATGTTGACCAGGATGGTCTCGATCTCTTGACCTCGTGATCCACCCGCCTCGGCCTCCCAAAGTGCTGGGATTACAGGCGTGAGCCACTGCACCCGGCTCAACTAATTCTTAAAATTTTTGTAGAGATGGATTCTCTCCGTGTTGCCCAGACTGGTCTTGAACTCCTGAGCCCAAACGATCTTCTTGCTTTGGCTTCCCAAAGTGCTGAGATGACAGGCATAAGCCACCACAACCACCTCCTTGTTTTATTTAAAGGGAGAGGAGAAAGAACAAAAGGGGAGGTCCTAGCTTGTTTTCCCTTTTCTTTTTTTGAGATGGAGCCTTGCTCTGTTGCCCAGGCTGGAGTGCAATGGTGTGATCTTGGCTCACTCACTGCAACCTCCACCTCCCAGGTTTAAGCGATTCTCCTGCTTCAGCCTCCTGAGTAGCTGGAATTACAGGCAACTGCCACTGTGCTGGACTAATTATTTTGTAATTTTTAGTAGAGATGGGGTTCTACCATCTTGGCCAGGCTAGTCTTGAACTCCTGACGTCCTGATCCACCCTCCTCAGCCTCCCAGAGTTCTGGGATTACAGGCGTGAGCCACTGCACCCAGCCTTATTTTCCCTTTTCTATAAGTACCTGATGCAGGTTCTGCTTGACACGGTACATACAAAGCCCATGTGACTGGCTTGAAGGATCCATTGCTTTAAGGGACTCTCAGAAAAAACCTCACAGCGGTACAACAGACTGCCTCCAACTTTTAAAAATTTTTTTATTTTTGGAGACGGAGTTTTGCTCTTATTGCCCAGGCTGAAGTGCAGTAGTGAGATCTCAGCTCATTACAACCTCTTCCTCCCGGATTCAAACAATTCTCCTGCCTCATCCTCCTGAGTAGCTGGGATTACAGGCATGCACCACCATGCCTGGCTAATTTTGTATCTTTAGTAGAGATGGCTTTCTCCATGTTGGTCAGGCTAGTCTCTAACTCCTGACCTCAGTTATCTGCCCACCTCGGCCTCCCAAAGTGCTGGGATTACTGGCATGAGCCACTGCACCTGGCCTGGAGTTTTATAATGAAAATGCTCTCTAATTATTGCAAGCTGTGTGGCTGAATCCACATGTGACAGATTGGTCCCTAAGAGGATGTGGCTAATACCAAACTGGGGCAGTCATGGGGTGGCTTGTTTTCTTAATTCCAGTTTTGTCCCTACCATTTCACTACACTGATTAGGAGGCTCTGGGGCAAAAGACAAGTGGAAGAGCAGTTTTCACAATTGGCCCACTCTGGCAAAATCAGAAAAAAAAATTTGCCTTTGACATCAAATTCAACCAGTTTCGTCTGGGTTCCAGCATTCTGGGAGGCTGAGGTGAGAGGATTGCATGAGCCCTGAGGCTGAGACTATAATGAGCCGTGATTGCACTACTGCACTCCAGCCTGGGCAACAGAGTGGAGACCCTGTCTCAAAAAAAAAAAAAAAAAAAAAAAATTCCACTCGTTTGGGACAGAGTTGGGTAAGGAACGTACTGTGAAGAGAAGCTTCTCAGAAGTTAAGAGCAGCTGGAATCAATAGAAATCCTAGGCAGGGAGGCTGAGTTGCCATAGCGACAAACCCTCGAGTTGGGTGGCTATGTGCAGTGTTACAGGACATGGGTTTTTCATCTTTACAAATCAACTGAGGCTTGACCTGCCCCTACTTCTTGAAATAGTTGTGGGCCACTTTCCCCTGTAACTTTGGAAAACAAAAAAGGAGAGGAAATAAGTGTCATATGAATGCCATCCACAGGTTGCCAACATGGTTGTGGTTGCCTCAAGGCAGGTGGGCAGGTGGGGATGACCTGCTGGCCCTCCCAGATCAATGGTCTCGGTAGGTTTGAGGGCCAGACTTCTTTCCAGCAGCAAAGCCACCCCAGAATTTGCATGTGGATTCAGGCTTAACAGGGTGAAGCTGAGGCTTCCTCCCCACTGTGAGAGGAGTGCATGTTTACACCAGGACTTTTTCTGCATTTATATCTTCAATCCAACAAGGCCTTTTGTATGCCGAGTAACAGGCCATCAAGCAGCTACTGCATTGTGCCCTCTCAGCAGCTAGCCACAATCTCTTCTGCACTACTTTTTCTTTTTCTTTTTTTTTTTGAGATGGCGTCTTGCTCCGTTGCCCAGGCTGGAGTGCAGTGGCACGATCTTGGTTCACTGCAACCTCTGCCTCACAGTTTCAAGTGATTCTTTTGCCTCAGCCTCCAGAGTAGCTGGGACTATAGGTGCATGCCACCATGCCCGGCTAATACATTGTATTTTTATTAGAGACAGGGTTTCACCATGTTAACCAAGATAGTCTCAGTCTCCTGACCTTGTGATCCACCTGCCTCAGCCTCCCAAAGTGCTGGGATTATAGGTGTGAGCCACCGAGCCTGGCCTTCCGTATTGTCTTCTATACTGGACCTGTTTGGCACCACAGAGATCTCTTTGCCCCTGCACAATGACGTTTCAACCACCACTAGCTGGAAGAAATAGTCAACCTTGGTGATTGCACAGGCAGGACCTTGGGACCACTGGCACTGTCAGTGGTAGTAAGCCATATATTGGGAAGCGGAAGAAATTGCTCTTCACAAATCTGTTGGGGGATGGGTGCAGGGAGTCAGGTTTATAATCCCAGCACTTTGGGAAGCTGAGGTGGGCAGATCACTTGAAGTCAGGAGTTCAAGACCAGCCTGGCCAATATGGTGAAACCCTGTCTCTACTAAGTAAAGTACAAAAATTAGCCGAGTACAATGGCATAACCCTGTAACCCCAGCTACTTGGGAGGCTGAGGCAGGAAAATCACTTGAGCCCGGGAGATGGATGCTTAGTGAGCTGAGATTGTGCCACTGCACTCCAGTCTGGGTGACAGAGCAAGACTCCATCTAAAAATACCCCCAAAACACAAATCTGCTTGCCCCTGTGAAAAGGGCACATCAAAGAATCCCCATGCACTTGGAGTTGCTGAACCAATAGGTTGTGCAAAGATTCTTAAGCATTTCAGGGCCGCATTCTCTGTTCATGTCCATTTCTGGTGCTTAGGAACAGGAACCCAAGTTGATGCCCAACAAAAAGCCCTCTTCCTTTAAGGAAGGGGCAGGCCTGACTCTCATGTCCGATAAGGGGCACCCTTAGGCTTTTTGTTTCTCTTGCTTTTATTCCCCCCTTTTTTTGTTGGCCTGATGCTCAGTTTGTTTACTAAAGATGTATTTTGTTTAACCAAATATTAAAAATAGAAAACTCTATTAAAAACATTAAGCCATTTTAACTCAAAAGAAATTTTTGGCAATTAGGATAAATTTCAAGACTTGATGTGGGTAGAAGATTGAAAAATTCCTTTCTGACTCTAAACCATAAAAATAGATGATCATCGAGACCATCCTGGTCAACAAGGTGAAACCCCGTTTCTACTAAAAATACAAAAAATTAGCTGGGCATGGTGGCACGTGCCTGTAATCCCAGCTACTCAGGAGGCTGAGGCAGGAGAATTGCTTGAACCCAGGAGGCAGAGGTTGCGGTGAGCCGAGATTGCACCATTGCACTCCAGCCTGGGTAACAAGAGCAAAAAAACTCCGTCTCAAAAAAAAA